ATTTGGATGTGCTAGAATTATTTAAGTAGATATTAGGTAATTATACATATTGCAATTACTTTCTCAAAATGTGGGCTATATTGTGCTTGTTTAATAGTGTTGTTCAGTGAACAAAGATTCTGAATTTTTAAAAGTTCAATTTATAAATTATTTCCTTATGCTTAGTGCTTTTAGTGTTCTTTTAACCTTTGCATACTCAAAGTGATAAAGCTGTTCTATATTTTCCTGTAAAAGCATTATTGTTTTAACTTTCATAATTAAATCTGCAATCTGTCTGGAAATGATTTTTGTCAAATGTCAGGTAGGAATCATGATACCTTTTATTTCCATACTGCTATCCAGTTGGTCTAGCACCATTTATTGGAAAGATTACTCCTTTCCCAACTGTCCTGTGATGTCAGTTTAGTACACAGCCAGTGGTCTTACATGCACGGGGCATTTCTTACTCTGTTCTGTTCCATTGGTCAGTTTTCCTTTGTGACCAAACAACAATGAACTAATCATATGTCTTTCAGTAAGTCTTAATATTTGTACATTTTCCAGCTTTGTTGTTGCTCTTGGGTATTTCTTGAGCCAGTTTTAGCTCTGGTATACCATTTAGATTTTAGAATCAGTTTGATGATTGCTACAGAAAACCATCAAATTTTTGGCTAGAATTTTGTACTGAGTCAATAGATTACTTTGAAGCAGACTCATCTCTATGTTACTGAGTCTTTCCATCATGAGCATGCTATATCCCTCCTTTACTTAGGTCTTCTTTAATGTCTCTCAATAAAGATTTGTGTTTTTTAAATATGGAGACTTTTCACAATTTTGTTAGATACTTCCAAGTATTTGATTTGTATGATGTTATTTGAAGCTCTTGTTTTAAATTCACTTCTTTTTGTTTCTGGTATATAGAAATAGAGCTTATTTTCAAACACGAATCTTGCTAAATAGGCTTGTTAAAATCAACTCTTCATTTTGATATTTGTAAATTCCTTTATTTTTTTCTGGGCACAGTCATGTAATCTGTAAATAATCACAGAGGGTTTCCATAAAATTTGTATTATTTCTTTGGTAGCAATGTTGGAAGGATTCAATATTGAGACCATATAGGAGCAGGCTTTTCTTTGTGAGAGGATCTTGATATGTCCACACACAAACACACACATACCCCATTCAGTCTTGTCTAACTCACTGCATGAAATTTACTACCATCTTATCCTACTTTCTGAAATACACAGAAAAACAAACAAAACGCTGCCTAATTCTCAGCATAAAATATGCTTCTTACATATTTTCCCATGAAAGTATGTTTAATAATCTGAAGTCTCAGTGTTTATCTTTAAAGTGTCATAAAAGTTTTTCATTTTCCTCCAAAAAGTAGACATATTTACTTTCCTGTGAAAATAAAGCTGCAAATAATAATCATCAGGTAGCAGTTATACTTCAGGGAGATATATAACCTTTATATCCAGGGGCTTTGTGCTTTTGGCATACATCATATCCTCCCTTGGATACCATATTCCACCTTTGAGAAGCACAGCTAATTCTGACAAAGTCCTTATATTTCAACACTGATGTCCTACTTTTTTCAGTTTCCTTTTTTGGATCCATGAAGTAAGGTGACATGTGCACCTGCAGAATGGAAGTCTTCTAATCCCTAATGGGAACATAGTGCCTACTTAACGCAGACAAGCATGTCTGAAACTAAGGGGCTTGATCAGAATGGGTGCTGTGCACCTATCACCAGAGAAAAGCTGAATTCTTGAAAGTCAAATAATACACACTATTTGTGTCATTGTGTAGGGGGGAAGATTTTAAAAACAAATAATGCCATGAACATCCATTTTATCAAAAGAAAAACACTGGGAGATTGATCTACACAAGTCAACAAATTGAATGTATTAAAGTACATTTGGTTTGTGATCATTTATTTATATTCAAGGCACTCTTGGTTTCCAACTTCTGCTGCTTTGATGCAAGTGACTTTGGCAGCTAGCAACTGAACTGTAATTTCCCTTCTGTCGGAGAAAGAGCTATTTAATGTTACAGGTCAAGACATGCCAGAGTGAGGAGCAAAGGCTGGTCTACGGAGATCAAGAGTTAAAACCGTCATATTTCATCCAAGCTAAGTCTATCCAAGCTTTTAATTTCATATAAAGCATTCATTTTGGATGTCCTCTAATCTGTTATATATCAAACATATAATTTTTTTTTTGCAAGAACATTGTTTATGTGGGGAGGCACGGTTGGAGTACTGTAAATTATTCATTAATCTTGGTCATTTATTATAGAGCATTTGTTTCTTGTAGAAACTGTTTTTATTTTTCAACCATCTCTCTTTTATCAAGAACTTCAAACCCCATTTTCCCTGTCAAGGTCAGAATACCCTATAACTAGAGACAGCTGAAAGCCAAGTTCTATCTGGTGAATAAAAGAAATGTAATTGTATGTACATGATTAGACACATTTAAATTTATTCCCAGTTATACTCCCTAAAATAAGTTGTTGATGTTTTGATATAATTGGATCAAGCCTTATAATAGAAGTCTTGCTGTAACATAAATCAAGCTTTAAAAAATATATTCATCTCCCTTCTAAAAATCTCTAATGGGCCACCACAAAAATCTTGCCTTATTCTATCCCATATTGCCTCTCAAAATATAGAGGTAAAGGATCAACATTTAGAAGCTTACCATCAGGACAACAAGCATTTCCCAAAACCATCAATGCTATATTAAAACAAATTTTGAATCTCTGAATACATATTTATACAGCGCTTACTTTTTGAACACTATTTACTCAAAAAATATAACCATATCTTAAATGATAAAATTGAACACAAAAATAAATTACATCTTTGTAAATTTAACATATCTGCACACTTTTAAGAATTCATTCAAATAACTGCTCAGTGTAGTTCTCTGTGCTCTAAGTAGGATAAATCCTTAGGGCAAAAACAATTGAAAATGTTGTTCAATCTTGAACAATATTCAGTAGGTTTCACATTGGTGGTAGTATCAATAGAATTTGTGCTGTGTGTCTTATGGGAAAGAACAAATGAGTAAATATATTGATGGTGTTGGGTTATGTACATACAGAGATGGGGCAAGAGAGGACCAAAGACAGAGGGCCAAAGAAAGAGAGAAAGTAAATACAGCAACACGTTGACAACAGGTACATGGAGCTAACAGTATACAATTGTTCACTGGAGAGTTATTTCAACATTTCAGTAGGTCTGAAATTTCTCTAAAAGCAGGAGAATAAAATCTAGGGGTTGAAATCCTTTCTTCTCACCTATTGTTAGCACCGAAGCCAGGATTCCCTGACTGTCTAATGCTAAGACTTAGTCTGTAATCAAAATTGACAGGAAAAACATGGAATATCTTAGATGGTTAAGATGTCAAATATTTGAGCAACCCATTCCCTAACCCACCTGACACAGAGAGAGTTGCTGTCCAGTACCCCCGCCATGCAGGGCACACGGCCTAAGCACCTGCCCTCAGGTCACCCAGCTGACGGGAGGAGCTCACTAGGGCTCCTCAGCAGGTGTGCCGAAAGCCACACTCCGAGACTCTGCCAGACTCTCCACCTGCCTCTCCTTCCCCAACCCCAGAGTCTTCCTCCCCGTTTATTAGTGTAAATTAGTAGTGATTAACACCAGCAGAATAAACTGTATTGATTTCCCTCCATCTCACTGCTGTCTTGACATCATTTTTTTAAAAAACACACTCCATGCTGAAAGGCCTCCTCTTTCTTACGTAATGGAATCCCACCTCATGATTTCTTCATAATTAATGTGCACAAGAGATCAGCCAACCCCATATAAAGTACACTCTGTGACATCTTTAACACTGTCTGCTTGCATCTGGAGGACTGGATGTTCTATGCTACAATAATTACGACATTCCTAACACAGTCATCTTGTTCTTTCAGGACTATCATTCCCTCTTCCAATTATTTACTTCAAGAATTTTACAATGTGTTGTAGTAAAATTTGGATACGCAAACAGGTACCTGGTTGGAGGTGCCCATGGAACCTCACAGCTCACACAGTTTTGACTGTCATGACGTGGACTCAGAATTGTCTGAGCACCATGACCACCCCTGTACCACCATCTGCCCACACCTGCCTGCCACTTATCAAACCCACACCACACAGCTATCAAGCCTCAGTCCAGCAACCCATGTGAATGGCCGACAGCATCACAAGTTAGTCCCGAATGCTCCCAACCAGCGGTCCTCACAGCACGCCCTAGGCAACATCCAGAAAGCCCAGTCACTCCTGCCAGGGAGGACACTCGGATCCTTGCCAGCTGTGTTCCTTCCATCCAGTTTCCCAAGCTGCACTCAGCCTCTTGTCAAACTGCCCTCCAAGCCATAGTTCTCAGGCCCAGCCAGCCTGGGAATGCACTGTTGTCAAAAACCCTCTTAAAGTGTAATGCTCTCAGTACCTCAGGTGCAGAATAATCATTGTCAGGATAAGGAAACTCTCCCTTGACAAATTAGGACCGAGGGCATCCTGCCACTTTGTTTCCATAAAGCAGGCAAGGCTTCTGATCTACCAGGCTTTCTCCCTGGGACTAGGAAGGGGCTCTCTTCCCACCTAATTTGCTTATGAAAAATATTCAATTATGTTCCAAGTTTAATTCACTTAGTAATGAAAAGTAAATGAGCCCAACCAGTGTGTTTAATTTGTCTTAGAAAGATAGAAACGGCTTTGCAAGAACAAACAAAGTTAAATTAAAATAAGTGACTCTCCTCAAAGGTTGAAATTGAATTCCTCCCCAAAGAACTTCTTAACATCCATAAAACATGGTGCCGATGTCAGTAAGAGGGAGAGAGGCCTTGCTAAAGAACCACTGTGGCCTAAAGATGACACACATGGGTATGCATGTGTATAGATACATGGGTTGAAACTCATACCTGTGTGTGTCCCATCTACCATGAAGCAGCACAAGGGCTGTGCATCAGGGTGCAAGGTGCACCCCGTCACCAATGGGCATCTCACATACCATTTTTGCAGATGGGACAGCACTGATCAGGCTCGTACACAGGGTCCACACACTCCGTCTGGGGACACGCTGACACCGTGCACAGCACCTCACCGTTGGCTTCACAGCGACACCTCTCGCATGGAGACACCTGAAACACAAGTCCACAGTCAGTGTCACGACTGCTGTCATCTTTATCCTACAGGGTCATGTATGTTTTTTTGAAATAAAGTCTCGCTCTGTTGCCCAGATTGGAGTGTAGTGGTACGGTCTCGGAGTGCTGCAACCTCCACCTCCCAAGTTCAAGCGATTCTCCTGCCTCAGCCTCCTGAATAGCTGGGATTACAGGCACTTGCACATGCCTGGTTAATGTTTGTATTTTATGTAGAGATGGGGTTTCATCATGTTGGCCAGGCTGGTCTCAAACTCCTGACCTCAAGTGATCTGCCCACCTCAGCACCAAATTGTTGGGATTACAGGTGTGAGCCACCACACCTGGCCCTACAGGGCCATATTTTTCTTCCCCTAAACTTTCTGCAAAGAAACCTAAGTGTTTTAGGAATGTTAAAAAATAATCCAAGCCAGCGGTTTTCAGGGTGTGCACACAGGCATGCTGGGTATTGAGTGAGTCGCCTTATGTGCGAATGCACAGGACTGGCCACAGGGCTGTGACGTTCCCTCTCCTGTCCAGCCAGAGCCACTGTTTAATTCGTGGTCTGCATATTAGGATTTTTAATAAACTTTTTTTTGAAGAATTATTTTCATCTATTTAAAAATTAAACAAATAAAAACTTGCTGCTGAATTCTTGCCCATCCACTCACCATGTAGGTTAATCCCTTTCTATAGCCCTGTAAAGTCGCCCCCCAGCCTCACGTGGAACACTACCAGTGTTTCCAGTTACAAAGACACTGGAGTAGGAAAGGGGAAAGGGATGAAGGAGGAGGAACAGAGTGGCATTAAAGCCAGGCTTTGGGCCAGCGGCTGTATGAATATTTCGTCACTGAACTTTTACAGCAGCACTAAAATATACCTACTCAATTACTGACCCTTTATACTGGCAGGAAACTGAAACTCAGAGGCGTTAGGCAATGCATCATGGGCAGCTTTGTCCTGTGGGACGAGGTCCCTTTCCACTGAGGGTTCCTGAGTCCATGCATGGTGATTCTAATCTCCTCTGCAGCCTCTCCCAGTCATTTCGCCCTCTATCCAGCATCATGATGCTCTGTTAGAGACCGAACTTCCATTTGCCTATCTGTACCTTCCAGTCATGGGTTCAAACTCTGCCTTTTTGATCCATCCAAATCAAGCATACCAGCCATTCCTGGGAAGGCTGTACATGGCCAGTGGAACCCTCCACAGTCACTCACACAGCATGTGGGGATTTATCCCCTGGTTATCACCAGTGGAGTGATTTTTGATCTGGGTTGACCCAAGACAAAGTAGGAACAGCATATGCTGACCCAGCCATCAGAAGCAAAACTGGAAAGCGGGGATACCCGTGGAAATGAGTCATATCAAGCTCCTTTCCCAGGGGCAGGGAGACGCCCAGTTGACTTGTGTGCTCCACATCCATGATACAAACACCACTTGGAAGGTGAAGAACATGAACAACTCTCACAGATGCTTTCTTTATCTACACAATGCAAGCACCAAAAACTGAAATCTCCATTGAGTGGACTGGCCATTATGAGAAGCAAAAGCTCAATTTGGGTTTAACTATGTCTCTTTTGGAGGCACTAGACCACAGTTAACTTGCCTGGGAGTGAGGACTAAGGGGTGTGTGTATGTATACTTGGCCAAAAAATTCTAAAAAAGAAAGGAAACTGACAAACGTTAGAGTAGCCTGCGACAGAACACTAACTGGTTTGCAATGTAGCTTTACAAGTTGCCATCAGTCTTGAAACAATATAAAGGCCTGTTTTTGACATGTGTTTTGCTGTTGCTGTTGGCACAATTAGGGTTTTTTTGTTTGTCTGTCTGTTTCTTTTATTTTTTTGATGCCATAACCAGTGTTGCTCTTTGTGGTTGCTGTCATCGTTGTGGGTCTCATTTCTTGCTATCTCCTACCAATTCCCCCATTCAGTCTGTGGCATTTTTGTCTCAAGGGGGATATACATGTAGGAAGCAGAATGAGAGAAGGATTCTGAGGTTTTCCTTTCTTTTTGTTTTTTGAGATGGAGTCTGACTCTATCACCAGGCTGGAGTGCAGTGGCACGATCTGGGCTCACTACAACCTTTGCCTCCCAGGTTCCAGCAATTCTACTGCCTCAGCCTCCCAAGTAGCTGGGACTACAGGTATGTGCCACCATGCCTGGCTAATTTTTGTATTTTTAGTAGAGATGTGGTTTCATCATGTTGACCAGGATGGTCTCTATTTTTTGACTTCATGATCCACCCACCGTGGCCTCCCAAAGTGCTGGGATTATAGACATGAGTCACTGTACCTGGTCAGATTCTGAGTTTTAAAAGCCAAGACCTTGAGTTGCAAGGACATGGTTTATTGCATGTCAGAAGCCTTCAGGTGGAAGGACTCGGAGCATAAGCCCTCAAGCCGGGGGGGTGTGGATTACATGATGGAGAGCCAGAACAGCCTGCCCCAGGAGAGGGAACACCATCCCCTATAGAGATTAAGATAGCAAGGAGCAAGAGGGTTAGATAGCAAGGTCTGTCCTCACGAAGCAGCACAACGTGGCAACCACTCCTTGCCTGGGCATACATCAGGGAGGGAGTGAAAAGCACCATTTCCATTTGGGAATTTAAAAGAAGTCAAGAGCGTGCCCTATGTCATATCACCAGGGAGGGCCTTGAAATACAGCAGGACCAGAGACAGATGTCCAACTGCAAAGTCAAAAAGGTGCCAGGTCCTTAAGCAGCAGGCCCTGAATCAGCCTCATCCAGCAGCTTTCTGCATGAAGGCGCACACCTTGGCAAATGGGGCAGAGATCACTGGCCTGGAAAAAAAACGCTTCTTACCGCCACTGGAGCTGAAATGTCACTGAATCCATGCCACAGATTACTGCTCAAAGGCATGCACACAGGCCAGCATGCTATTTTCTCAAGGGTTTCGTAGCTTTCTAAAAAATTGGATTGTTGGTTATATTGTCATTAAGTATCTAGAAATTCTGATTCAACTACAGTCATGTACCCCATAACTGGGTCACAAAGGGACTGCATATATGACCCGGTTCCATGGATTACAATACTGTATGTTTACACATCTTTTCTATGTTCGGATACAAAAACACCATGTGTTATACTGCCTACAGGATTCAGGACAGTAATGTAACATGCAGGTTTGTAGCTTGGGAGCAATAGGCTATAGCATATAACCTAGGTGTGTAACAGGCTGGACCCTCGGGGTTTGTGTAAGTCCACTTTATGATGTTCACGCAATGATAAAATCGCCTAAGGATGTATTTCCCAGAATGTTTCCCTGTCATTTAGTGATTGTGTGTAGAGATTTGTTCACTTCTAAAAATATGAGAGTCGGTGCTTAGAATTAGGATCACCGATTAGGCCTCGCTTTCTGCAGCCTACATCTGCCTTCACCAGCACCCATGCTGGGCCCTATGCACTCCCATCCCAGGTTCAGGCCTGCCTCAACTCCCAGAGAAAGTGAGGCTGGTAACAGCAAGTGGCAAAGCTGTGCCAGCCCCTCAGATGCCAGCCAGGTGTCCTGCTAGTCCTACCTGGGCAAAAGCCCTCAAGCTAGTCACAGGCCCTGGGTAGGTAGAAGTCAGAGCTTCTCATCTGATAAGCAGGTTCCAGGACCACGCCCATGATCCAGGTTACATAATACAACCCTGACTTCCTCTGGTTTATGTTCCCATCTCCTGCAGGCCAGCTGTCCTAGCCCTGAGGTAGCCCCAGTCCTAACCCACGAACCCACCTTCCAGTAAAACCTTCTTGCCTCACAGTCTCACAGCACCTGCTGGGCCACTGGGCCACTCCCCCGTGTTAGGCTCTGATCCTTGATCAGGCTTCACCTAACTAAGCAGGTGTGCCCAGACTCAACAGATGAAAATAATGCCCCATCATTTTTAGCCATATCAACCCCTGGAGCCTACCCTGCCATGCTCCTTGCTTGGTGAAACAGTGGCCTATGCCCCCTCAATGCTGTCCTGTCTCCCTGGAAAGGCTCACATTTGATAAACTCCTACCTATCATGGATCCAGCTCAAACGTGGCCTCCTCTGGGCAGCCATCTTTGATAACAACAGGAATCAGCTGGGCACTTGCCCTCCATTAAGCCATCACTTGAGCTCAAACCTACGCCTTGCATAGCCCTCATGTAGGGTGGGGAACATTGTTTAAATAGCAAAACAAAACAAACACAAAACCCAGTGCCCACCTAAACTCAGCAGCCAGCTGGGGAAGATGCAGCCTCACTATGTCAGGGAAGAAAAGCCACCACTGAACTCCATTCCTCAAGTCCTCCAGGGACATCTGACAGAGACCCAGCTGGACTCATTCCGGCTCTTCCCACGGCTCCAGTCCGTACACTGCCTAGGCACCCTCATTCCAACACAGGGCTCTGCTCAGTGCCCCAGGATGGCCACTGTACACTCATAAAAGCAGCTCCCTGCTGAGAGTCCTCCGGGACAATGTGCTAGTAATGCCTTCCACCTCCTGAGAGGCATAGAGTCTGACAAGGAGCAGATGGAAGCTGCAGCCATGTCTCTAGCCATGGGCTCCAGCTTTGACATGAGGCTTAAATCCTCAGTCGTCAGGGCCAATCTGGCATTCTGGGTCACAGTGACCCTCTTTTAGGCTCATTTCACTAACGTATGGCTGGAGCCCCACAGGCGTGGTCAGCAGGTCCAGGAAGCTGACCTAAACGTCTGGGAGTGAGGTTCAAGATTTGCCTGTCCTTTGGCCTGGTCAGACACCAAGCTGCTGCTCTGACTCTAAGCACCAGATCTGAGCACCCACCAAGCTGATGGTTCCCCATCTGCCAACTCAAGCCTTGAGGGCCTTTTTCCAGGCTGTGCTCCTTGTCTCACATGGAAACTAAAGGTAAGATTCCCAGCACATCTCTTACTCTGCAATCAGCAGCAGGAACTTCCATGCACATTTTTGCCCAGTCAGATGAAACAAACTTTTCTCCTCTTCCAAAGTTATCATTTCCCCAGAGGAAACTTAACTAGGGAT